GAAAGGGAACGCGTTCTCCGCGAGAGATTTACATGTTGACGTGTAAGCGGAAAAAGTAAGAAGAGGCTACCAGTATTTATAGTCCAGAGAGCATCCCCCAACTAGTAATTTCAAAACATTCGAAGGAGGTAGCCTGACAATATATATATATGCATGTATTTACATAGATAATGCTTACGGTCACATCACGTTGTGACATCAGTTCCCGTACGATCACTGAAATTAGCAACGTTGATCCTGGTCAGTGCATAGAGGAGTGACCGCTTCGGAAAACCAGGTGCTGTAAGCTTGCATTTGCGGGCGGTGATAATGGATAATGGTTCAAAATTGTTCATCGGAGGGTCGCGTTACAAATCCAATCGGGTTTATTATATTCACATACTCTAGGAGAATGTATGAATCCACCTCTTCTCCCCCATCTATGGGTTAATTAATAAGATTTAAAATATTATTATCTTCAAAACCAAATAAAATTTCGTTCAAAATATACAAATTTCGGTATTGAATAACTCATAGACACCGGTATACCGCTAAACAAAATCAACTAAGCTTGCATAATAACCAATAACACTTCATATCAAAGAAAGCTTGTGCAAGATACATGTCTGATATAATCTGTTGTGGATTCCGAGTTGAAATCCCGTACCAATAAATAAGAAACGCCAAGAATGAATATATGGAAATAATGTATTAACGTAATAATACAAACTGGTAAAGCAGGTTAGTAGTTCCAGGAATACGTGTTAGTAGCAAAATATGTCTACAGTTTTTGGTATTGAAGTATCGCTGTATGACTTCTTACTGAGTCTACGTGCTCGCTCACTGTGACTCCTACAACGCTGTTACCTCACCCTCACTCTTCCGGTTACCTACAACCTTTTACTCTGTCACTCTGGACTCGACTCGACTCGACTTCTCTCTGGTATTCACTGGCAGTAGTATAAGTATACACTGGGTGAGTCCATTTGTATAAAAAGGGGTGGACCCCTCAACATAATCATAAGATTTATTTTAACTCATAATTTACAATTTTGGCCAGCACTCAGGGCGCTTATTATTTTGAGCAAGAATTAATGTAAAATTGATTAAAATGATTGCTTAAAAGTGGAACAGATATTGGGACATGTATCCCCACCAAATTCTCACATTCTAAAAATATTTTCTGGTGTTAAATAACCTGTAAGGGATTTATAAGCCGTAAAAATGGATAAATCAGCACTAGATAGATAGATTTTACAAACTTTTACAGTGTGTAAATTCCTCGCGAGGAGGCCGAGGCCAGCGCAACCGACGGTTGCGGGGGTTTGCCGGTAATTTTTGTTCCTTGCCCGGGTGTACGCGCTCGGGGTCCACACCTTTAAAAGACCTTGTATTACAACTCGTCTTAGTGGGGAGACAGAGTAAATAGATAGATAGATAGATAGATAGATAGATAGATAGATAGATAGATATGAACAGGATATGTTTTCTTGGGCACTGAAAAGAAATTTAGATAGATAGATAGATAGATAGATAGATAGATAGATAGATATGAACAGGCTGAGATAGATAGATAGATAGATAGATAGATAGATAGATATGAACAGGCTGAGATAGATAGATAGATAAATAGATTTCAGAAAATGGCCAACAAACTATTGTTAAATGCATGGGAGAGTAGAACTCGACTTCGCATACTTGAACATTTTCAGAAGACCTAAGATCATAAAAAGATATTATATGTAGGGCGTTCATTACAAATTGCTTCAAAAACATAAACGAAAATAATTTTAATACACTTCAGTTATGCCCGGCATTTTTTTTTTTTTTTTTTTTTTTTTTTTTTGGCTTTTGACTTCCCGAGCGCGTGCGTGTGTGTATGTGTGTGTGTGACTAGAATAAATGGGTTCTTCCGAGTTGAAACGGGTAGGAATGCCTTTCAGTAAAGGTCACGGGGATTTTCGCATTAATTTGATGTTTCACTCTTATAGAAGTTGACATGGACCAAGATATTCGCTGAGCGCATCACCCCTTATACGTCACTGCAGTCGACCCAGGGCACTACCGCTAGAAAGGAAGCAGAAAGGTCGGGCGCGATGGGAAGAGACCCCTTGGGCAAAAATGTAAAACTCCTGATTGAGACAGAAAGCTGAAATATTGCCAGCAATGGTAATAATTTCCTCTCTTTTAAAAGATTTTCTTTCCCTTTTCTAGAAACAGTTTTCGAGCATTATCATATGTTTCTAATATATATATATATATATATATATATATATATATATATATATATATATAGATAGATAGATAGATAGATAGATAGATAGTGATATTAGTGGTAAATATACACATACATATGCAAAATAATTATGACTAGTGAATATTAGTGTTTAAGCCTTTTTATATATATATATATATATATATATGATAAAATATATATACAAAAAAACAAACAAAAATCTTTATATACAATTTATACTGTTTTAATGTTAATATGTCAACGTCAGACGTTTCGGTCTAATAAACCATCTTCAGGACATATTCATAAATTATAATATTATCAATACAACATTTATACATAAATTGTATATAAGGATTTTTGTTTTTTTCCGTATATATTTTTCTTCATACTGTCCGATATTTATCCATATATTTGTATATATATATATATATATATATATATATATTATATAAAACTTATAGTAATCCGTATGGGTAGTCCCAAGGAGGATGAAATCCTGAGAAAAATGTAAATCCAGAGCTAATATTTTAAATAAAAACAGACCACTTTAAGGTTCCATTATAATAATTTATTTCACCAGACCCCTTTTAATGGACGCTGGATCATGAGATAGTACTTCCAAAAGATGAAACGGAAAATGAAAATAAAAGGGCTCTGGTGAAATAAATTTTTACAATGGAACCTTAAAGTGGTCTGTTTTTATTTAAAATATAGATAGATAGATAGATAGATAGATAGATAGATAGATAGATAGATATACCATTTAGCTACAGAGGAAGCATCTCATTAGCAAGATTATTAAACAACAAATTACTTGTTCCCCTAGCTATGGGTTAATTAGCAAGACTGATATCATTAAACCATTATTAACTCAATGAGATCTAACAATCTAAAAATATTTCTTGGCTTTTAAATAACTAGCAAAGAGTTGATTAGACATAAAAAACGAATAAATCAATCATTTTTTGTTACACACAGTTGATCTCATTATGATTTTGCTGTAGTACGCAAGCCCGTTAGACGTAATACTCATTCAAATAAAGGCACTAAATGTATGAAGTCATTGAAATATGTCAGATTCAAAATAAAATCCATCAAAAACTACTTTGTTTACGTTTCGTAAATAAAAATGAGCAGATACATGATTCGGGAAAGAGTCAGTGTGCTTTAAAGATAAAATCGACTCTTGTAAAGATCTCCGTAGCCAAACGGTGAAAACACGCCGGATCAAACGGTGGGCCTTCCTGCAAAGGAGGACGCACGTTCGAATACTGCCGGAGCAAACATATTCTTTATAAGGTTTTCTCGAGACAAAATAAATACTGTTTAAAATAAACGGAGCGTCTACTCAAATACGAGGATCCAATAACATTTGAATTAATACAAATATATCAGATTAAAAAGTAAATGGCATTATATATATATATATATATATATATATATAATGTAATATATATATATATATATATATATATATGCGTGTGTGTGTGTGTGTGTATAGCGATTTACTAAGCGCGTGGAGAACATTTACAAGCACCCATTGAGGATCGAATACACAACGCAGTCGTATCAGATCTAACGCGACAATATATATGTGTGTTTGTGTGTACGTAATTCTTTCTTTCATACTAATCCTGGTAAACAATACCTTTAGAAAATAAAATATTAAAATAGATATGAACAGACTAAAATAGATAGATACGAATGGCTGAGATAGATAGATAGATAGATAGATAGATAGATAGATAGATAGATATATATGAACTAAGATAGATAGATAGATAGATAGATAGATAGATAGATAGATAGATAGATAGATATGAACAAACTAAGATAGATAGAAACAGACTAAAATAGATAAATACATAGATATAAATAGACTTAGATAGATAGATAGATAGATAGATAGATAGATAGATAGATAGATAGATAGATAGATAGATAGAAAGAAACAGATTAAGATAAATACAAAGATATAAACATACTAAGACAGATAGATACATAGATAGATGTGAAGAAGGCTGAGATAGATAGATAGATAGATAGATAGATAGATAGATAGATAGATATTTAACAATTTTCACGCAAAGCCATAATAGTCATTCTCGGAGAGAGCTTGGAAAACATGTTTAATTTCCATCCATATTATTAAATTTGTCGATGGATTTCTGTGTCTGCCTTCTCTTCATGTATCTTTTATTTCCGTTTCTTGGTCCCCTTGCTTATCTCTCTGTGACTCTTTATAAGGCGAGTCACTGCTAGCCATTATATGAATTCTTCAGTAGCCTGAGAATGTATAATTGTCTCTCAGTGCCCATTCGAGTGAAGAGTTTTCAAGTGGCAATCAGCCTTACTTCCCTCTCAGGGTCAACGAGGTCTAAGAAACTATTTCAACTTCTTTCTTTCAATTATAACATTTGAATCATTGTTGACCTACGGAGTTTTGTTTATGTAAGAACATAAAAAATAAAAGAAATTATTCCCTGAATACTTCAGCCTATCAAGATCGAGCCAAAATAGTCAAATTTATTGATTTGTTTTTTTTTTGGTTTTTTTTTTGGGGGGGGGGGTTTACGACTTGTTAACCTCATAAATAAAAGTGCAGGTTATTTAAAGCCTGAGTGTTTTTTTATTGTAAATATATTTGCCAGATAATACTGATACAAATCCTACTAATTAACCCATAGTTGAAGGAGAACAGGTGGATTCATACCTTTCCCCAAGGGCATTTGCGTGTTAAATGAATATAAAGAAACCCCTTATATCCATCCGAACATACATGCTTACAGCACCTGACATTACTAAGCGGTCACCCATCCAGGTACTGACCAGGCTCGACGTTGCTTAACTTTTGTGATCGTACGAGAACCGGTGTTTTAAAGCGATATAGCCGTAATCCAATAGTCATACTGAATCCCGGTTAACGAATTATGGTGGCGTAATGCGGTAATGCTTGATATTATGTAATTTGGGAAACTCTTTTGCGGTATGTGGGGAAGTAATGAACAGACCAATTTTTAAAAATTGACTGGCTATCGATCAAAGCAGAAATTAAATTTAAAAAAAAACAAAAACAAACAAACCGTGATTTAATTATTAGCAGGGGTGATTGGAAGTTTTTATCCAAATAAACGGGGACGATGGATTTGAAGATAATAAAAAGGTTACCACTCAGAAAGAGAAATTAACGATTCAAATTTTACGAAAATAACTTTGGAAAAGGTATGAACCCATCTTATTCCCCAAGTTATGGGTTAAATATCAAGACTGACTGGCCATTCTTGCCTTGAGATGAATTAAAAAAAAAAAACAGCTATAGCTGCAGTATATATTGCACCTCAACGACTCTAATGGGCTACGTAACTCGAATAAACACACATACACATATAAAAAGACTCTGGACAGCGAATACTTGATAAAGAGATATAAAAATTATATATTATCTTAGTCTAGTCCTGACCGCAAAAGAATTTCTGCTGCCTTGATTCCTGGGTAACACTTAATTCATTCACTCTCTGTCTTGAGTGACTCATGAGCCTTATATGCGACCTCCGGCTTGATTCCAATCTGCTTCCCCACTTTGCTGAGGAAACCGCCATTTGATCCGACCGGAAATATAAATATAATGTTGGAGACTCAGGTCAACACCGACCGGCGACAGTCTGTTTCATGCATGAACACTATCTTCAGGCCATTCATTTACTACTATCATTATATATATATATATATATATATATATATATATATATATATATATATATGAAAAAGATACTTTTAAGTAATTAACTTAAAATATTAACATAAAATAACTTAAAATTATCTTTTTTATCATATATATATATATATATATATATATATATATATATATATATGTGTGTGTGTGTGTGTATGTATGTATGTATGTATTATTAACCACTCTATCCGAAACAGACTAGGAGAAAAGACAAACATAATAACCTCATCTACATGTAAAAAAAGATTAAAAATAATGGAAGCCTTAATAATAATAAAAAACAAAACAAAAAGCCAACGCTTAATAATATTAACTACGAACACGGTCACAATGTGTAGACTGTGTTCGGAAAATAAAACATCTCTATAACACTATAAACATACGCACAACGCACACACCCAATTAAATTGAAAAAATAAAATCATCCTTGATAATGGCTAAATGTATAGCCGAAAGCGCTCGGAATTATCGAACATTTGGACAGTTTCTACATTGTGTCCAGAAAAAGAAAACATTTGTTCGAACACAAGAAAAATTAAATAAAAAGCTTAATCGTAGTACTTTGTATGTCGTTTTTAATGAAACATGCATAAATGAAGGATTGCTGCCTAAATGCATAATCATATATATATATATATATATATATATATATATATATATATATATATATATATATATATATTCAATTAAAAGGTGCAATTATAATTTATAAATTCATGAATCATTCATACAAAAAACAAATATAGAGGTTAATGATTTAAATGGCGAGAATACATCTTCGCAAACAATTTCAATAAGATACACCAACCCCGAACCTGTATATGAATGAAAAGATCCTTGTTTTATAAATTTCATTTGCATAAGGTCTTTTTAATTTTTTACAAGCTTTCGTCTGTTCCTACAGACATCCTCAAGTATGGAAATAGATTTTGTTCTTGTTTTACGTCTCAGTAATAAGAGGACAACGAAAATAGAGAAAATATATATATATATATATATATATATATATATATATATATATATGTGTGTGTGTGTGTGTGTGTGTGTGTGTGTGTGTGTGTGTGTGTGTGTGATATTCGGAAAAACATGCAGAAATTTAAAAATCGGATCTGTGAGCACAAAAATAACCTCATAAATAAAAACACGTAAATATAATATCGGTCCTGTTTTGGAGTGTCTCGCCTCTTGTGGCTAACATTTTTTAAGCATTTCACCCCAAATAAGACGGGAGTGCCATTAGTACGCAAGGGGCTAGAGAGAGTTTAAGTAATTGAAAAGACTGGGTGTAGAGGGATTGAGGAAAGGATAAAAAGAAGAACAGGTATCAAGACATCAGAAGATGTCGATTGTCATTAGATCTGAATATTTGAAGATTATAGTTATCAGGGAAGCAAGTAAGAGGAAGGGAGTTCCACTGCCGGGAAGTGCGAGAGAAGAAGCTGTTGGAATAGAAGTTGCGGTTATATTTAACTGTTTCGAAATTAAAAAATTGAGACGTAGATACTAACCTAGTAGAACGCTTAAATTCATACAGTCGGGCCACCAGTGAAAATCGCTCATCAGAGCAGTTGCCATGAAAATATTTATAGAAAAGACGAGAAGTTACATTATGTCGGTGAGAAAGTGACTGGAGTCGAGACCCCAAGCCAGGACAGATACTTACGCGTTTTTCCTAACGATTTTCCAAATTGGTGCTATACAGTCTTCATCTTCAAGTTGTACTTTCCCCACCTCCTCGTTCAATACACTTGATGCCAAGAATTCTGTCACAGTTTCACATAAGTGAATTTAGCGTTGTCATCAGATCTGCAAAAGCCTTCAAGAAGGTCAATGTCTAAACCTATGTGCTCTTTAGTTCAAGTGAGGACTTCCGAAGGAAAAAAAAAGAACGGTTCCTCAAGTCTACTCATTCTTTCACCCCCAGCAGCTCTTATCTTAGGAGAATCACAGACCCCCACATCTTGAAAAGCCTCTCGCAGGAGAGCATACGTTTTACACATCAACTGCTACTGCATCTATCTTGCGAATAATTAACAGAGTGCCAACATTTGGATTCCTACTAAAATAATTTGGGACTGACCAGTATCTGCGCATAACCAGGTTAAACATTTATCGAACACGCCAAATAAGAAATAAGCAATTGTTTGAGAACCAATCAAAAAGTAATACTTGATCTAATTTTATTCAAGTGAATATCGTGGCTCTTATTAACATATCTAATAAGCGAAATTCTTCACTTTAGCAATTAATCTGCCAAGTAGAAATTTTGCAAAATGAAATGCAAATAACATTAGCGAAATTTCCGAATAGTTTCATTTTTGGTATAAAGAAGATTGTATGGATAATTTACATTGTTCGGACTGTTGTCCTCATCTATATTGTCATATTCACGACGTTTCGGCCGTTTTACGCTCAGGCCTTTTTCAGGTGATTGGAATTTCGAACTAAACCCTTTATTTCGTGCACCGGGGTAAATTGTTCTAGTTCTACGTACCATGCCTCTTCCGGATGTCGCAGTTATCTCTCGTTAACCCAACCCTTTTTATTCACCACTGAAGTAGCCAGGTATTGAGTTCACAACTCTTTTTGGTCAAGTCACTGGATTCATCCAACGCTTTTAACCACTGGGCCATATCTGAAGAAGGCCGGAGCGTACAACGGTCGAAACGATCGTACCACGGTTGTGAATATGGCAATAACGATTAGGACTAACAATGTAAATAATGTAAATAATTGCAATACCTCATCTCGAAAATATAGTCAAATAAAGAAGATTGCAGTGCGCCAGACTTTCAAGAAGGGGAGGCCTGTCTTGGCATGAAGCAAATCAAACCTTTCATCTGCTTGAAAAATTGGAATCCAGTCTGCCGTGGGACTAAGCACTGCACTAGCTGGGGTGTATGTGTGAAAGAAGAGATGAAACGTTGTCTTTGCAAGAGTCGATCTGGACAACTGACAGGGAATTCTGAACTGAACTGAACCCTTTATTTAATCTTCGGCGGTAAACTCTTCTCGTTCGGCTTCACATATCTAGGGACATCGTCTAGTTCTTATTATTTTTAGGCATCACATGAACAGTGGAACGAGAACAATCTACCACACCCATAAATTAAATAAAGGGTTCAGTTCAGAATTCCCGGTAGGTGTACCCAGATCGATATGCACTTTAGGAAGGCCGCTATTAATGTAAATAATGAGAAATCCTCAAAAACAAAAACAAAAAATTAAAGTTTTTGGTGCACAGAAGAACCATATTTGTTTTACATTCTCTTTTCATACACATAAACCTCTTTTAAAATGACTGCTCGTCTAGCTACACGAATACAATGATGGAATTTCTATTTTTGGAAGGAGAAATTAATGGAAATACTCACAGGAGGTTAGTGAACATAAATGGAAAGGCTGCACAAAAAAATTAATAGTGTTAATGGCTGAAGAGAAAGGAGAAACTACATTTGTGACAGGCCTCTCAGTGGCAGGTCAGCTGCTGCTGTTAATGCAGGTATAGCTAAACAGGCTGGTGTTCTTGTGAGAGTTGCAAATCCCTGTGAACGTTTTCTGGCAAACCAGTCTTGACTGCTCAAAAGTCTGTGCCAAGTGAGTTCCTAAAATGTTAACAGATCCCGTGAAGGAGAATATAGTGACTGTCTCAGACCATGGAATTTTTGTTTTGTCAAAAGAAATTGTGGAAATATTTACAGGAGGTTGGTGAACATAAATGGAAAGGCTATCATAAAAGTTAATAGTGTTAATGGCTGAAGAGAAAAGTGAAACTACCTTTGTGACAGGCCTCTCAGTGGCAGGTCAGCTGCTGCTGTTAATGTAGATATAGCAAAAAAGACAGATGTTATCGTGACATTTGCAAATTTCTGCACGAACGTTTTAGTGCAGTCTTAACTACTCAAAAGCCTGTACCAAGTGATATCCTAGAATGTTAACTGATCCCGTGAAGGTAGTGATTGCCCAAGACCTTGTGGCATTGAACTCACAGGACAGTGATTCTCCAATAATGATAATGTGAAAGGGACAACTCTCACATAACTAAGAAAGTAGATCCTATGTGGCAGGTGTCTATCTCCTTATACAAAGGTGGAATATTAATACTGAAAAAAAAAAGAAGTCTATGCTTAGAATTATTTTGGGAATCTAGTTATTTTTGTCT